GTAGCGTTTTAAAAATATTAATCTTACGTGGCACTCTAATAATTTTTAATAAATTAAAATCTTACGTGACGCTCTAAAAACTCGGGAAAAAACTCCCTTTTATATATATATATTAGATTTGTCCCATGACTTGTGCCAAATGCTACTCAAATTTTTTTTTATTAAAATATTATTAGTACATTTCCAAAAAAAAAAAAGAAAAAAAAAGGTACTTGTATAACTTATACTGTATTCTTTTGATGGAAAGCAAGTCAAACAACAATAGTAAGAACTTGATTGTCAAAAAACAAAAATAAAAAAAAAGTTGAGTTTATGACTGGGTCAAATTACAAATTTTTAAACAAAACTGTTTTTCCATCATTAAATCACCTTGTAGATGGGTTAGGTTGAATTTAGGATATAATTATATGTTTGCAGTAACTTACAAAAGTGATTTTAAGATTGTAAGACGCTATTACACATGTTTTTCAGGTCAAATAAGTTAGTGAATTGAAAGCTAAGGAAGCACTAGACTGTAATTTAAGCCCCGAAAAAAATGGGCTGTTCAACTAAGCCCACTTCAAATATTAAGAAGGACCATACAGATACAATACTTCGAACCCAGTCTTAAGATGGAAAATTCACAAGTTAAAAAATAATGATCGTGTTTAGGTGAAATTCTTTTATTTTCTTATTTGTCAATGTATAACTTTAATAATTAGTGTTTTTTTTTAAAAAATTATTAATAATTAAAAACTATAAATTGTTGATGTTCTGATGTTCTAAAATCATAAATCAAGACCAAAAATGGGTTTTTAAAGGAAGAATGGAGAATGTTTTTTTAAGGAAGAAAACTAGAGGAAGTATACCAAATTATACATGCACCAAGCAAAACTTGGTCTAGTCATTAGTGATAAGATTTGTCATTTCACAACCAAGAAGATTGTGGATCAAACCCAACTAGGAGCACTTTAGAATTAAAATTCCCTTATCCTTTCCGATTTCTCCCACTTCAAAGGATCTTGTCTACTAACCTGAGTTAGGTTGACTTGTGAGACATTTCAACCCAATAAATCCCTTCTCCCTGCCCAAAAAAAAATTATTATGCACGCACACATGCTTATATAGTACGGAGTACTGGACACAAAATTACTAAGGTGCTAGAGATATTTAATACCGACACCGACACGAAGCTCGTACTTAGAACATTCGGATGTGCAAAATTAGAAGATATTTTTCAAGCAACAAAATCAAAATATAAATGCTATGGAGATCATCGGGGACAGTACTTCTCAACCAACAAATCTGTTTTCCCGTAATAAGATCTATATTTCCCAAAGTTTTAATTTTTGAAAACATATCAAATCGAATAAAGAAGGGACCAATAATACCTCAGATTATGAAAGTTCGACTAACTTACATTATGAAGTTTGACTAACTTACATTACGTCGAAAGTAAAATAACTTTAACCTTTATAATTTTCACAAATGCGTACTTGAACATGTTAGTAATTAAAGATGCGTATTAAAATTCATTTTAAAGCCAAATTTTCAGAAACAAATACAGTATAGAGAGTACTTCGTATAAAGTATTACGAGTATAATATTTCATGATAATATGGATGAATTGATGATCTTATACTTTGTACATTACATTATTATAAGTTCATTTGCAAATTGTTGGTTGAGTAATAAGTATGGTGGGGTTGAATATATTGATATATATCAAATTGGATCAAACATAATTTACAGCTGTACATGTACTGAAGCCTTACTGTACGGATGAACTAACTATGTAAGCGAGTCTCTCGATCTCCACTACTCTTGTGATATGATATGTACCTGTGTTATGTACTCTGGTAACTCCCTATGCAATGCATGATGTTCTTCATTTAATTTTGATGGCCCATTATTGTATAATTATCGGGTTGCGTGTCATATGATCAAATAGGATTTAATTTGTATATTTACTTATGGTTGTAATTTGTACCTTATGTTTTGACCTTTCACATGCATCAAGGGTTATGCTAACATAATCATGCAATTCGATTCCTCACTTAAAATCGATTAGATTATGATTAAATGATATAGTATTGTACCCCGTAGTAATTTAAGATCATATATCATTAGGTGATGTTAGGGCTTATATTGACGCAAGGATATAACCAAAGTTATCCAAGTTCAAATCAGTAAAAGAATAAGTTCTGATAAGATTTAGTGAGTTTAGATAAGTTTGATAAGCTCGCGTAGTTAAGATTAGATACAATTAGATTTGAAAATTAGGTGAATACAACACACATTTTAAACCAATATTTTTAATTAGAGTCAAAGGCATCGATCTAAGCTTGAGAGTATTACTATGTAAGAAACTTGAACCTTACATCACCAAGGTGGGTGATCGACAATGTCAAGTACATTTTTCAAGCACTACTAAACCACCTCAACCTCACTTCGTCCGTGCATGAGTTCGTTCACTCATACAGTATAAAAAATCATCCAAGTCTTATAATATTCGAGTATTACAATACACCTTAAGAGAATAAAAGTATGACCATCATCTCTTGCCACCCCTCCCTCTTCCGTACATAAATACAACATATGGGCTCCCATGCAAAGGAAATTAAAAGAAACAGCTAATAATGGGGCTACTGGTAAAAATGCGCCCTTGCTACAAAGAAGTCAGAGAATTGTAACCAAGTTTTGCAACTATTCTTTGCATTCCATTTTTCTGAATTTCTGACTAATTTGTTGGGATCATAATTTTTTTTATGTCATCTTTTTTTTATCATTAATTCATACGTAGTATATTGTATGTTCATCTTCATAGTTCTCATTATTACACAGCTGGCTGAATTGTTCTTTATTTTGCAACTTGTATGTTAGAATCTTGGTTGTTTTTTTGCTTTGGGTTTTGCAATATTTGCATGTTCTCTTATTACATACTAGTATGATGAAGATACCTAATATAATTGTGTATGTGACACTATTATAATAATTATGATGTTATTAAATCAGATAAAATCTTTTGCATATGGTTCAATTTCTGTGATTAATCATCAAAGATATAATGTTACTAGGTATTAGATCTATTATCAGGTGAAAGGATTATTTTGATGTTAATTAATACAAGTATATTATTTCTCAAATCAACATGAAACTGATCTGATTCAGGCATGATTTTCATATGACTTTTCACATTAATTATTGAGTTTTATAATAATTGATGAAATATATATAATATTTATAGATTTTAACACAACTTGATCCGATTTGTATTACTCTGTAGTTTGTGCTTAGTTCATGCTTTTTGATAAGCAAAAATCTAATTATGCAAATTTTGCATCTGTTTAAGCCAGGGTGCTCATATGCTTGAATCTTGGCATTGAGATTTTGGAGAGTTATTGTAATAATGTCATAAATCAGGCAAAATCATCCAATTAAATCACAAGATACAATATGATCATCTTGTGATTTTAAACATTACAAGTTTACAACATATCTTTATTGTGCAATATAAATTCAATTATCACATAAAATGTAATGAACGAATAGATCTGTATATCAAAGATTAACTCCACGCCCCATTTACACCTTATATTTCTATCACTGGTTATTCATAAATTATAATATGCATTTGTGTTGTCAACAAGTTTATTTAGTATTTTCGGGTTTGTTGTATGAAGACGATGATTGACATTCACACACTCACACTCATCACATGAGACTAAGTATCATTTAATTCATTTTAATTGAGCACTCTTACCTCCGGAATACAACATAAATTAAAACATACATCAAAACATCTCATATAGCTACATAGCTAAGCATCAATTTATGCATTAAAAATTCCCAATTGGCACACATATAGGTCAAAACAGTTGTTGAAACACTTAAATAGATGATACTAGGAAACTCATCACAATTACAATTTATGTAATTGTAATTAGAGTGACTGTCATGTTAATTAATGAAATGAAGGAATCCTCATAGGAAGGTGGTCATGAATTCAATACTTTTTAATGAAAACTTGACCGAAAATTTTCAGATCTTTGCTCCCCTTCAATACTAATTGCACGTGTAGCTAGTTGTACACTAAGATGCACGTGTAACTCTTCACTCACTAGTCACCTTCACTCACTCCTTCACCCATCAATTTTTTTTTTTTAGTAAGTGTGTATCCATTTATGTGCACTCTTATGGAGTATTTAATACAACTAGCTTAAATTACGTACACTTTCATTTCATTTAATCATTGTTCCAAAAATTTAACAAAATTATAATATTGACAAAGGAAAGTTATTATAAATAAATAAATAAATAAATAACGATGATGATATACTTATTAGATAAAAATAAGTGCTTTACCTTGTTTGATCTCTCTAGATCAGGTAAAAGTCGTTTTTTATAATTGTATGAACTTTAGTCAGATCAAACAAAGATTTCTCCTCTAACTTTGGTTGATTCAAAGTAAAAACAAAGGAAAGTTAGACCTTTAATCTTATTTTATTTTATTATCAGAATAAGGATGGGGGGATCTGAACTTAAAACTTGTTACACACAGATATGCAGTCTTAATAGCTAGACCAAAACTTAATCATTAACCGAAAGCTAAACTTGTAAGTGATGAATTCTAGTAAAAATTACGGCAGAAATTATTGGTACTAAAGAATAAAAAAATGTGAGACAGAAATCTCTTGGCAGAATCCTTCTTTAAATGCAGTCAACTAGTTTTGGACCCATTCACCTTCAGAAGTATTGGCCTAACACATATACGGCCTTAAGCACACTGTCGGCGAGTCCATTTTCACCCCTCATTAAAACTTTATATTATACGATTTTATTGGCCCCTCCTTGAGATTTTATATGGATTTTCATGCTTAGGACTTGTATTTTTCATTAAAAAACAATACTCCTGTCTGTACTACGCCTTTTGTATAGGGTGGCATTTTATAATTTTTTTTAACAAAATTCTACCTATTTTTTCTAGTTTCTACCCACCTTCTCATATCGTTTGGACCTTATTGTATAAAATATTGAATTAAAATAATTAATTCGTACATTACCAAATAATGGTCCTTTCCCACTATATATAACTTCACCTCTCCCTTTCAATTTCATTCCAAGCATAACAAACCTCTCCAAAAATAATTTAAAATTTTTTATTTTTCGCCGTCGGTCCAATTTTTGTAACAAAAAAAAAAGTCGTCCAAATTACCCTACAATGTTGAATATATCTCCAAGGAAATTAAGGTCGGATCTTTATTCACACCACGATGAACCCGATATGCCCTTAGTGGTATCAGTCTTAGCGGCCTTGATAGAGCGACACATGGCGAGGAACGAGAGGGTATCTCATAATTCTAGACGGGTACTAGTGTCAAAAGACGCTAGAACCCGTGTGTTCGATGCCCTTGAAGCACCGGATATGACAATTCAATCGTTCTTGGAACGGATATTCCGTTACACTAAGGCCGGACCCTCCGTTTACGTGGTTGCCTACGTGTACATTGATAGATTATGTCAAAATTACCCCGATTTCAAAATTAGTCCTAGCAATGTCCATAGACTTCTCATTACAACCATCATGGTATCATCCAAATACGTCGAGGACATGTAAGTAATTTCACTAATTCAAATTCCTCTGTTTAATTTTTCTTCCCTAATCAAATTTTTTTGAAGGGTAGGAATAAAATTCAATTTTTTGACATGGGTTATTGTTAATTTTGTTACAGGAATTACAGAAATTCATATTTTGCAAGAGTAGGAGGATTGACAACCAAAGAAATGAACAAATTAGAGGTTGATTTTCTATTTTTAATGGGGTTTAAATTACATGTAAATGTGAGTGTTTTTGAGAGTTATTGCTGTCATTTGGAAAGAGAAGTTAGCATTGGAGGAGGATATCACATTGAAAGAGCATTAAGATGTGCTGAAGAAATCAAATTGAGCCAATGTGTTGATAAAAGATATGGTCAAATTGCTCGTATAACTTTATAACCCAAGATCATAAATATTATGAAATGTATAGTTTTTGTATATTCTTTGTAATTTGTCTGAATATAGTAGAGTATTTTCTACATTTGCTTGAAGAATTGGATGCTAAGATCACTCCTAGTAAAACATATGGAGTACAATGGAACAGGGCTCAATGATGTTACGCGATCGATTTAATTACCCTTTTTAAATTGATGGTAAGATGCGATTGGATTCTTCACGGGTCAACTCAATCCGAATTTAATGTTGAAAGCTTTGAAGGAGGGGGGAATAAAGAAATTTCACGCCCTCGAGAACCTTTCTATACATACAAGGGTTGTATTAATTGGATAATTTGTACTTTTTTATGAGGCATAAAGTAGTAAGGTTTGAAAGTCATGAGTCAATTCAACTCAACTTTTACTTGTACGTTAGACCTTTGAGAAATGGGGTAGGTTAAGGAAAACTTCATCCCGTTAATTAACCTTTTCATACAATGATTGTATTGAATGCCTTGTAAACATTTTTATAAGACATAAATTAGTGAGGTTTGAAATTATGATATTCTAGTCTTTGTTGCTTTTGTCATTATTCTACAGAGTATATGTTAAAAAATTTGGTGGTTAAATTTTTTCGCACAAAAAGTCAATAATATATTTTTATGAAAATATCATGAACTACATTTGAATGCAAATTAAACTAGCAATACATCATGTCACTTTATTTAAAGAAAATTAGTGGCTGAAGTTTGTGATAACATAAAGTGAAAGTGATTGTTATATAAGAAATTAAGAATGGATGGAGGTGGCGTGGTAGGATAGGACAATTTATGAGTCAATTGAAATTGTATAAGAAACAATTATATCATGTCATTCGGTTTTTGGCGTGTGGGCACACTTGTAGGTCATAACATTAATTACAAATTAGTTACAAGTAGCATATGATGTGATGAATTCTCGTAAAAATAGTGAGTTTACAAGTACTTGATAGGAAAAGATTATGAGATAACTTTAGAAGAGTGGATTAATCGATTACCCATAGTGGTAGATGCACTTAAAAGGTCAAAAATAATTTTATTTTTTTCCTCATCCGATGATATATTATTGAAGAATGCATACAGATTTTACAAAAACCAAAAAATTAAAAGAATGAAAAAAGTTAAAAGAGAAAAAAAAATACATTGGGTGATGATAAAAGTTGCAAATGAGTACAACAAAATTCCATCTTCGTATAAATTGTCACTTATTCATTGGCGCAATATAAAATCCGACTCATCATTTTTTTATTTCTTTGGCGTAATATAAAATCCGACTCATCATTTTTTTATTTCTTTGGTTGCAACCTTTACTATCTTCAAAATATCTTTGGGTGCACTTAACTCAAGCACATTTGGGTGCGTGTATTTGTACTATGTAAGTATTTAGTCTCAAATGTCATCAGATTCAACAAACGTGCAACATCAATAAGGACAATCAACTATGGTTCTAGTAGATCATCAAGTTTATATATAGCAATAATGTTGATTGAGTGTTTTTGGAAACATCCCCAAGTTAAAAATCGCCTTATTTGGGGACTTGTAGTCTTCTACTCATATACATGTATACACTCTAGGAAGTTGATGCCTTTAATTATTGATGGCCTTTTCAAATAGTATGGACCGCTCTAATCAATGAGCTACTTCGTATTAACACTAGTTTTGTACTAGAAATCAAAGTGTGGTTATATGGTTCAATCTAATTTAGATTATTCTATGTGAAGTCAAGTATCTAGAAGATATTATTATAAATGAGTAAGCACCAAAAACTTAAGGGTCAAGTTGGGTTAATCAACTTTCTCGAAAAATTCATCCTAGGTTATAGGCAAAATAAGGCAAACAAATATCATGATGGTTGTATGTATGTCACTAAAACTTAATGTTTAATTAGCTAGCAAGTTTATACTATGTATATGCTATGCCCTTTATTGTTGAATTAATCTAAACTTATTTTTCCTAAAATGAGTAGAAGTAAGGTGAACAAAACATAACTTAAGTTTCGCATATTTAAAATTAGAAAACATATCATTTAATCCATATCAATATTACTATCAAATCATTCCCACCAATGATGTAGTGTGTATATATACATACTTTTCCTCCATTTAACAGAAAAGTTCAATCACTCACTCTTGTGGTTGTGGCTATATTAATTATTGTAAAACATCTATCTTAATAATACAATCTTGTGGTACCTTCTTTCATATTCTTAAGAATAAACATTATAAAATGAAACTGTACATACATATTGATGATGGTATTAACACTAATTAAATGCATCTAACATATCAATAATGACATGTAAAACTACAAAGATAATGAAAAAAAATGCAAAAGATGGTGGGAGGAAAAGAGCAAAGTACGGCGTTCATGCCACTTGCTAAAATGGGACCATAATATAAGATTATGTACCTACCATAAATAACCTATGCTAAAGCCACTCGTGTTGTTGGAACGACTCACAGCTAGCTAAGCTATGTAACAACTTACAACTCTCTAAAATAATCAACCAAGTGTTATGCTAGATGCTATTCATAGATGTAAAGTATCTCGTGAGTTGTGATATCTTCAAGCCATTTGTTTGAGGGTTGGGAGTATGGTCTAACACTTTTCCTTTCAATTATGAAATGAGGTAGATAGGTCATTGATATAAGAAATTCTTGTCACGGTTTCGCTCCAAAAACCTGTGGATTAGAGCGATGAGAGATCGAGAATCGATTAATATGGTATCAGAGTTGAGGTTGGGTCATTATAATTTCGAGCGCCTTTAATTGTAACCACATAGGTGCAATTATAAGTTTGAAATTTTAATGGAATTGAAACAAAATCATGGGGTAAGAAAATTTAGGGTAGTATTGTTGATACACCAAAAGTAGGAGCGTTCAGACCCTATGCGGAAAAACTCTTAAGTTATCTAGCTTTGGAGAAGGTGAGTGAAATTAACTTATAAGCTTAAAAATCTAGCTATTACCATCAATTAGGTTTGGAATGGAATGTTGTCATGTTCTCAAAGTGAACAACTCTCCTCATTCTTAAAGGGTGCATCTCTATTCCATTTAGAAAGGCTATACGCCTATACGTATAGATTGAGAATATCTTTCATAGTATATAGAAATAAAAAGTCTACACGAGTACATGTAAGAAAAAAAAAATTGTCATTATTCAATAAAATAGAAGTAGACAAAACTAAATAAACATCTTATAACAGAAAGTGAGTAAATATAAAAGAAATCGGGGAGCAATATATTTTTATAAGGATATATGGAATGCAATACGATGTTGCACGGCTACTTCCAAATCCTAATTAATGTTAATTATCTGAATTAACACAATAATGATAAAATGCATAGTTATTTGTCTTGTAGTGCGTGTGTGAGAAAATTGACTCTTATCCTTTCATTCTTACAGACAATGTTGTTGAGCTATGTGGAGATAATTGGACTTCCCAAATTCTCACATTTTTTATTCCTATTACAACTCACTCTGCTTCCTTACAACCCATCTTTCATTAACAAACCATAAGTAAACTATTGTTTCTAATTATATGATCCTACCTTTATACCACGAGTAAATATATATAATAACATAAAGAACCGACTTAAAAATTTTAGTGTAAAAAGTCATAAATGATAAATAATATAGACAGAATTTGATTTCACGTTTAAAGTACCACTCCAAAGATTTTAACCTATTAAGCTAACTTGCGTTGAATTATATGGTTCAAATATCGGGTAAGGACAATGTGCTCGACTACAAAGTTCTTTGAGTTTTGTTATTCAATTATGGGTTTAACACTAGACCATGCATTAAGAAGCCAACAGTCACCAAGTTAGTATTATATTGCTTATACCTCTAGATTATTATGGACTCAACATTATAATTGTATGAAATCGCATTCTTTGGAATTGATATGTAATAGAGATGGATTAGCCAAAAAAAAAAAAAAAAAAAAAATACATACATAGAACAACATAACCCAATAAAAAGACAAAAGTAGTCATAACATGATTAGTCTTATGTTAAACAATGATTAGATTAAAAATCAGATTCATATGAATCGTATTAGTATATACAAGTATCTCCAAAATGATTGTTGCCACAACATTATGTCTACCATGCTTTTGATCAAACAAAACTAGTTTATACACATTTCTCAGACATTCACCTAACTTAGATATTATTGTGTAATTATTTAATTGATTAGGCAATATATGGTCATAATTAATTAATTCTATGAACCCCAAAACACATTTTTAAGGAATTAAAACTAATATAGTTAAAGATAACATGATTAGGAGACCATAAGACATTAGTATATTGACTAATTAAGACGGTCTAAAATGTCGTAATATACATTGTATAGTAATGATCAAAAGTTGATTGATATCCACAAAAACAAATAAAAGTGTATATTCTTCAATATATACGTTATTTTGAAGGCAAAGAGAATGAATCTAGCAGATTATAGGAACTAGGAAGGTAGCTCGTACTTCCCAAACAGCTTCTTATGTACTTAGTTTCTATATTTATACCTTGAAAATATTGTAATCGTATCAAGCAATAATCTTTAACGACTTTAAAGTATGTTTCTATAATTAGCAAAGGTTTTTTTGTTCAAAGTACCAAGAATATTTGACAATAATTCACCTAGTACTCTTTATTCCAAACAAACAGATTATGTAACTACGTGGTACATCACTCACGTACTTCACCCGGGATGAGTTTTATGAACGTAGAGTAAAATACATTCTAATGTTTGGTTGGGCATTTTATTTCAAGAAACCTCATATCATTGGTTAACTCCATTACCCCTACAGTTTCATATCCACATACCTCCCTACGATTCTAAATCCGTTCCACCCAAGATACAAACCAAATTAAGTACAAGTTAGTTCTAGTTTCAAATCAAACAAATATAGCAAGGTGCGAGGTTCAATCCATATCATCCTTTATTTAAGTCCAATTTACTTAAACGATTCCTAAATTAAATACAATTATAGGGAAAATTATAGACTTGAAACAATAAATGTCGCGGAGTAAATAGTTAAGTTGGTAAAAATTTAGTAAAATAATGTCCAAAATCTGAAATCGAAACTCATAAATAGCATTGTCTTTGTTAAAAAAACACACACAACCTGGAACACTATTGGCACTTTGGCAGCAGCACCCATAATATTTTTAAAAAAAAGCCCAGCCATGTTTAAAGTCCAACAACGCATAGCAAGCCCATAAACTAAGCAGCCACGAGCCCATGCAGATCATGGGCTGACTTAGGACCAAGTCATACCACTACAAATTTTTACCTAGACTCTAGTCTAGGATGAAATCCCTGCACCCCCTTGCAAACGACGTCGCATCATTTCTTTCACCTTCAAACTACAGGACAATCTAACTTGATCTCCATCTTACATCTTTGTTGATCTCTCTGCCGTTTCTACTTCTCCGTCGATCACAAAATAACTTTCGGTAGAATTGCTACATTTGCATGCTTTAGATATATTTATGAATTGCAGAGATTATTGTGTATTGATTTGATCAAAAATTGATTGTCGTAACTTACGATCAATTAGTTCAACAAGCAAATAACGAGCTTAATCAAACAGGCAAGCCATATCAAGAAACTAACACAAAAATTATAAAAATAATTTGATCCAATATTTCCAGATTTTTTTTGTGGGATGAAGATCTGGAATTATATATGCTAGTTTACTGTTGTGGTGGAGGCGATGACGACGCAACTAAAGTTGTGGATTACTTATTGTTCCAATTTTTAATTTACTTTGTAGTTGATGCCAAATATGAAAGTAATAGAGGGGGAGAAGAAAAAGATGAAGAATGAAGCTTAGAGGATTGTAGAGTATTAAGAAAGAGAGAGAAAATTATGAAAACTAAAGCTGAAGAAAAGATACCAGAAACACCGTACCGTACTGTATAATGAATTTGTTCATGAATGAAAGACAAACATAAATGAACATATTATATTTTGTAATTGAATATTTAATTATGGTTTGATAAAACATTTAATTATTTTCATAGATGATTAAAAATTTATAAAAGTTATCTTTTTTGTATTATTAAAGGAGTTTGAGGATAATTATTGAGGCTTATGTGAAAAATAAACATATATTAAAAATTTGTGGAGTGTATAAAGTATATAATATTTATACATATGAAAATGAACATCAAATAATATATAAATGAACATTTTTTTATCATTTTCATGAAAAGCTATAGAAAATCAAATTGTTTTTGAAATTCCTTATTAAATATGTAGAAAATATATAAAGATCGAAGATGGAAAAAGTGTGGACATTTATCAGAAATCTAATGATCGTCTATTAATATGCGAATAATGATCATATACTAATATATAAATGAACATTTATCAAAATGAAAATGAACATTCAACAAAAAGAATGTATTGTAGTTCATCAAGTAAACACTATAGGTTGTGCAATATGAGTTTGTTCTCCTGTAGCTATTGATTTCACTATATTGTCAATATACCCATAACTTGATGTACATGTATAAATATGACAATGAACATGCATCCATTTCTAGATGAGCATATTTCAATACAAGAATGAACATTTATTAAAATATCCTGAAATTAAAACAAAAATTAACAAACATCTTGACCGTGCATTTAAATTATGGGATTGAACAATTGCAATACTATATGTATAAACATCTACTAAAAAATCGAAATCTACATCTATTAATATCCTGGCTATGTATCTACATGAGAATAAGCAAAAGGCTTTGATAAGAACATCAAATTTATTTATAAGTAGTTTAAATATAATAAATATGAACATTAGACGCTATATATATATGATAGGAAAAATAACACATGAAAAACTATTAAAAAAAAACAATATATACATAAAAATGAACCTAAAAGAGTATAGAAACTAACGTGATCAACATATTATATAATGAGCATCTACTCACATATAAATGAACTTATATTGGAATGATAATGAACATGGCATAAAATTAATGAGCATTAAAAAAATATATGTGGTTAAACATATAAAGCTCTACTCAAATTTTTTAGTATCTTACTGCTTGCATAAAATATACTTTTATCTTAGGCATGACATACAAATGATACAGGCAGGCTAAGTAGTAAGTACTACATATACTTAATTACCTACTACTCCATACTATACATAAAAAAGAGTACGTATTTGTAACAATCAATACACATTATTTACAAAACGTGAATGAATGTCTATCAAAATTGAAATAATAAACTTATCAAAATAAAAAATGAACATTTATTAATACAAAAACGAACATTTATTAATACGAAAACGAACATAAACCATGTATGTATCAATATCGCAATAAATATATATAAAATAAAGTGATCTTGTATCAATATGGAAATGAACATTTATCAATATGAAAATGAACATTAATAAAGTTAAAATAAAAATAAAATTAAAATAAAACTACTTTAAGAAATTTTTTTGATTAGGGAAAGAAAAAGAAAGCAGCTATGCTTATGATAACTGTCAATTAGAAAGACAAAATAGAATTAGAGACTAAAAAATTTAAGAGGGACAAAAATTGATGGGAAATTCAATCAATGAAATTTTTGTTGATTGAATTTCCATGGAAATTACTAGTAGAAGAAAAAATCACACACTTCTAAGTTACATAAATTTAATGTTAATTTTGTCGTATTTTCAATATATATGTGTATATGTCTATTTTAATGATAATCATTGGTTTGTATTTGTTCATATGCCTTTTAAATAGTGAACAAATTTTATTATATGTTAATGTGTAGAGTTATAAAGATGTTCAGTTATGTAATGATAAATGATCATTTATGTAGATATATATGTTTTTTAATATAATAATAATATAATTGAACATTATTGATATTATATTTGTTTATTATAATTATTGCAGCCGATAGTAGAAATGCTCAAGATACTCTTATTGTTTCAAGGAATGTTCACGCTGCTTCTAGCTAGTGCTTCAACAAATGTTCAAGCTACTACAAGTGTTTCAAGAACTGTTCAAGCTACTACTAGTGTTAGTTCTAAGAAGTGTTCGAGGTGGTTTAGGACATACTTCTATTAAGTATGATAAGTTCTTAGTCTTTTTTTATACAAATGTAGCTAAGAGGTTCACTAGTAATGGTAAATGAGGGAGTACATTAGGAAACCATAGCTTTTAAATTACTACTTTCATGAGACTGCATTTTATATTTTTATCATGTAATGGATCTAAGGTTGTGTTTCTATTAAGCAATGTTTTCTTTCAACCTTAATATTGTTAGTGATGTAAATTATTTGCAAATGAACATTTCATAGATACAAAACACCGAGTTGTTAAATATGTTAAAAAAAAGAAATACTAGCTATTTAACATACAATATTAAAAAAAGAAATATCAAATTCTATTAAAAAAAATAGAAATACCAAATAAAGACTCTTAAGCGAGTAAAATCTATAAGTTCTATTGAACACATATAAGAACATATATCTTTGTATAAATGAACATATATAAATTTATAAATGAACATGTAATACTACTCTTTTGTAATTTTTCTTGATAATCTTTTGTTGATCCTACATTCAGTGTTTTCTTCAAAAGCATTAGTTGAGTTGTGTATTGCATCCTCAGCTTCCTGATTTGGTCTACCTGTTGATAAAAATGAATATATAATATAATATTAATTGTTATTTAATAATATATAAATGAACGATATATTTTAAGTAAATGATCATTTGATGGACTAACATTATTTGGGTTTAAGTCACAAATCCATTTTTTATTTTGATCACCAGTGAATGTTTCCATGTGTTTCATAATGTAAACTTCACAATTTGTGTAATCCTCATTGCCACTTTAAATGACACATCACTACAATATAGATTATATCAATTTATATGAAGAAAAAGAAAATGTTCAGTATGTATTTCATATATGTTCATATATGTATCTACAAATGAACATTATTTTTAATATAAATGGCATATTGTTTTACAGGTAGATGCTCATATATGAATTATAAAATATGAATAGCATATCCATCTCTAAATTCCATCAAATGTTTCACTTAAAATGGTATAAAACTATAATCTAACTTTGTTTATTATGCATTTAAAAATGTTCATATATGTATGTAAAAATGCTCATAATATTTAAAAATAATGAACATATTAATAAATGTAAATGCACATATATAAACTATTAAAAAAACATTTGAATGTATTACCAAGTTTTGTATGCATGCGTTCATAATGTTTTATACAAATCAATAACACATATTTAAAATAAAAAAAAAAATCAAATCTGAATATGTTAATAAATACATATTAACATGTAATTATAGGTAAACATGTGAATATTTTCATAATATGATATGAAAATGAACATATAGTGCTTTATAATTGTTCATTTTACCTAAGCATCCGAGACACTATTTTTACATCTGCAGCCTTAACGCTTGTATATCTTTGAAAGTGTTGGATCTACAATAGGAGATTTTTGTTCGCCGGTTTTTTTGTAGAGGTGTTTCACCATCATCTCAATTTTTACATTATAAACCATTTAATAATTTTTTTTTAATAAATTCTTGTAAATTTAAGAAGTTTGAGTAATATACTTACATTTTTGAAGAATCGTTGTTTCTGTTCTCTAAAATAGATTTCTCCAAACTGAAAAATGAAATTGAAGCAAGTAGATGTTAATTTTACTAATTATTCGAAATAATCACTTTGAAATTGATGAATTATTAACATAAATACTTACATATATACATTTTCAGTTATTAAACTATCAATTTGTTTCCTGAAACACAATCACAAATAAATTCTCAAAAAATTAGTTTTTTTTTTTTTTTTAAAAAAAAATAAATAAATTATATGAACATTTATACTTACTCTTTTGATTTTCGCTACTTTTTTTCGGTGAAATTTGCTTCGGTTGTTTGACTTCGTCTCTAATGTCCGCCATGGTTGAAGTTTTAAAGCTTAGATGAGAGAGATAATGGAGAGGGAAAATAAAGAGAGAACAAGATGTTTTTTTTTTTTTTTTTTTTTTTTTTTTTTTTTTTTTTGGGTATATATATTTGTGGGGTAGAGGAAGTTACTGAAATGTTTTTAGGATTTTAGGAAGTAATAGTATGCTGCATTTTGTGAGGGTATAGTACTGCAGAAACTATGAAAGTAGGTAGATGGGGGAAGGGGTGTTAAACGATGTGTTTAGAGAGGGGTGTAGGGGATGATGCCTAGACTAGAGTCTAGCCATAAATAATTAGTCATACCACATCGTGCTGACCCACAAAGCCCATAATAAAGATCCGATTTATTATTGTTATCATTTTACGGCCCAACTTTTAAAAGCCCGATTATAAACAGATCTTGTCATTTGTCATTCTTGTTAAGCTTACCACTCCGCTCCCCAAGTCCATAGACTCCAATACTCCATTTCCATACTCCGTACTCCATACTATAAAGTATTCATAGGCACATGGCAAAGTTTCCCTATACTAATTTCCTCCGTTTTATTTTCGTTGTAATATTTGAATTTTTTTATTTACACTTGTTAATTTGATTATCTTTGTTAATTTATATGTTGAGCAAAATATAGCCAAGTGAGATCATGTTAGATGTGCCTCATCAAAATTTTCACAATATCAATTTTTATATTTATTAGTTATTACTTATAATTAAATGTACAAATGATTAAAGCTGTGTATTGACAAGTTTGAAAATCAAAATACTGCAACTGAATGATAATAGAAGAAGTACAATGATTAAAGCTGTGTATCAATTGCAACATTATTATACATACTCTTACATTTAATTTTTTTCTTGATTTTTTTTTTGACAAAATGGTTAGTAACAATTAAATTTGGACAAACAGAAAGGCTTATTTGTTTGTTAGTATTTACAAATAGCATCTAAATCAAATCACTTCATGTTGACTTCATTCACATAGCTCAAGCTATTGTATTGCCAATAAAACTTTCAAAATTTTGAAAATTTACACAGTCCATGGATAATTATACCAATAAAAATCTTTGTTATAAATAATTTAGGTCAAACCCAATAGAAGCCTTAATGTTTAGGTAATTTTTATTTTATAAACAAAATTGCAAATTGAAATATAATTCATGTATAACTCTAAATTGGCGGCAAAAAAATTTCGAAATGCATACAAGGCCCTGTTCACTTCACCTTAAAAAAAATAATATTCAGTAAAAATAATTTCATTTCAGTAAAAATAATTTTAGCAAAAATAAGTTCAATTCATTAAAAATAATTTCTGTTCAGTAAAAATAAGTTCAGTTCAATAAAAATCAGTAACTTTAAAGAGGAAGTATAACATAAAATCAGTAAAAATAATTTAAGTTCAGTAAAAATTAATTTCAGTTCAGCAAAAATAATTTAAGTTCAGTAAAAATAATTTAAGTTCAACAAAAATAAGGGGAAGTGGACGGGGCCTTTCAAGTATGCCATATACAATAGATTTAGTCATCTTAATTATATCACTAAAATCAACAATATTTGGATTGACTAACCTTGCCAATACAATACAAATCCGAATACAATTCTCGATTATGTATGAAAACCTGCTAATTTGTAATTTAGGCATAAAACAATCTTGGTCCTACTAGAAGTCATGGTTAATTAAGTCATTAATATTTATCAATGAATATGGAAGACTATGACTATTTGTATCTAGTGTTGAAATGAGTCACATTATTCAGTAGACCAACTACCACAATATATGAAAAGATCAAGTTGGAAAATAATTAAAATATATGTCACTTTTATCAACCGTCAATAACCACCATTAACGGCAATTTCACCGGAGATTATTTTCTATCGTATCACTTTATTTATTTATATAAAATGGCTTTTTCGAATTGAAAAAAATTAAAATAGTACGTACCACGTACTTGACTCAAGTCACCTATTTGAGGAATTGAGGGGTCAATTATATAAATTGGACAATTAGTCGTGTGATAATCAAAGGCCCACAAACATCATTTCGTAATTTAAGTAAGGAAATTTTGCATTAAGAAGTCAATTTGATGCATAAGTTATTTATTACCACAGTAACGCATATGATGTTACAGTAAATGTTTCACTATTTAAACAGTTCAAAAATGTGATTTTCATTTACCAATTACAGAAACAAAAAATAATTGGCTATGTTCAAGCAATCAAGTTCATTGTTGTGTTTACAAGTACGAGTAGTTGTTGTTGTAGTATTGTACAAGGGCCTCTAATATTCATAGTACGAGTAGTTGTTTATTCTCTTATGTACTATGTTCTCATATAGTCGAGTAGTTTTCATGTTAGAATATTTCAATTCATTTGCAACATTCGGAGTATATTTATTTTCTCTATTTCTTTATATTTGTAAATTTGGGTGAAACAATGGAGGAAAATATAGGTGGTTGTGGACTGTGGAGAATAGAATTTACTACTCGTATCTTTTTAAGTAGTATTGATATACTATGAAGAATTGAATTTAAGATTGCGATATTTGAATAGGTTTCGCTTGTCAATCATTCTCCGACTTTATAATTTTTTTTTCAATCCCATCCACTATAACCTAAGTTGATAAATGTCAAGCAAAATAGCATTGCATCATTATTTGATTACGTAGACTCAACCACACACTCAAAACGGTTGAAACAAGAGACACAGTTCCACAAATTTTGCCAAGCTACGTACACGAACCATATCCCTATCGTTGGAATTGCCCTAATAACCTTCAAATCTTGCGTCAATTAGACTATTAGTTGTTTGGTTCATATGCACAACTAGGTTAAAATATAAAACTGGAAAATAAATATCATAAGGTATATATAGTTTACTTAAAAATTTTGCACAAAAAAAAAAAAAAAACGGGAATATATATCACAAGGTAATGACAAGTATCATGAAAGAATTTGCTTTCATTATAAGTTAAAATAGATTTGATAGGTAAACGTAAATTATTAGAGGTGTGAAAGGTTCATATCTAAATCACATCATGTCACACATTTAATTTCTAAGGGTACAAAAATCAATTTGAGTGAAATCAAAAGATTGCGAAAATTATGCATATTTCATGGAATCGTAAATAATTTAAGAATATGGTGCACTAAAGTCAAGTCATTAAGATTTACTTTCCATCTTTGCTGCTACATTAATAATTTTTATCTTATTATATATGTCATGTTATGCATGTTTAGGGTTTACTTTCTAACATAATATTTTATGTGCACATGCTAGAAAATGAAGCCTTTAGATGGTACACAAATTAAATAATTAAAAAAAAACTATCATGCATTATTTTTTAAATTAATGTGTTGATGGTGACTTATACTGATTTCCCACAATTAATGGCTAAATTAAGATGATGACGAAGATCACAATTCTTCCTCACTACACTATAAAAAAGAGTGAGTTTCTACCAGTTTTTATCACAAAGTTAAGTACTAAGGTTTAGTATTACTATCAAATATAGTATATACTACATTGTTCCTCTTATACTAATTAATTAGCCAAGTAATTAATTAAACTCATAATAATAATGGCTCTTCTTTCTCATTACCTCTTTTCTTTAGTGTTTGTTTTGGATTTTGCTCTTCTTTTTAATAGTTGTCTTTGTTTCAACCCTAAACTTTTGAATGTGTCCAAATATTATCATGACTCTTATTCCAATTGGTACCCTGCTGGTGCTACTTGGTATGGAAGTCCTGATGGCGCCGGAAGCGATGGTAAATTTTTTACTCCTTTTATGGTTCACCATTTCCTTATATTTAATACGGGTTGTCTAATATGTGACTGACTTTTATGAGATAATTAACAAGACGTGTGATTTATATGTTAGTTACAAACTTCTTTAACTTGTTTTGAGGGAAATACCTAATTCATCAAAAATAATCTTAGACGAAACACACATTGTTTGTTGTACTAATTAATAACTATATGATGTATATCACTATATATACGTAGGTGGAGCGTGTGGATATACAAATACGGTGGATAAACCTCCGTATTCTGGCATGGTTACAGCAGCTGGATCCTCATTATATAACTTTGGTGACGGATGTGGAGTTTGCTACGAGGTTAGTCTTTTTTTCAAATATATATATATATATATATATATATATATATATATATATATATATATATATATATATATATATATATATATATATATATATATATATATATATATATTTTGTGTGTGTGTGTTTAGAGAGCCACAAGAGTGGATTGAGAATCAATTTCAGGATATCCTAGGGAGGAAGCTCTAACCATTTGAACTACCCTCTAAGTAAAGCACTATAATTTTTGTACTAAATAAACAAGTTTATTGTATCATTGTTTAATCGTACAAGAATCCGTGTTTTTAATGACCCCTTAAAAAGTCGATAAATATACCAATTGACAATATCGTCTTTATGTATATATGAAAATTTGATGGTATAAAATTTATTATCATTAATTTTTTTCGGATGACCTACTAGGTAAAATGTACGGAAAATGAAGCATGTTCGAGAAAACCAGTGACAGTGACGATAACAGATGAATGTCCAGGTTGCCCTTCGGACGAACCTCATTTCGATTTAAGTGGAACAGCTTTTGGAGCCATGGCTAAGCCTGGCCAAGCTGAAAAACTACGAGATGCTGGCGTGCTTCACATCCAATACCAAAAGTAAGAAACTACGAGTAATTAAATCAAATATGTCACTTTTCGAAAGATATTCTATACAACGATTACATAATGTACCATATAAGTTGTACAACCATTTCACAACCCCTAAGACTTTTGAGGGGTTGGGGAACCAATTTAAAAGAATAATAAACTATGTCATTATTTTATTGAATATAAGATGTATAGTATAATTAATTTAGTTTTGAAAATTATAATTGGTGCAGGGTAAAATGTAACTATCGAGGAGTAACCGTGGAGGTAAGAGTGGATCCGGGTTCGAACCCGTACTACTTTGCATCAACAATTGAGTATACGGATGGTTTGGGAATAGAAAGTGTGAAATTGAAGGAGCAATCTGGTGAATGGATCTCCTTGAAACAATCGTGGGGTGCAGTTTGGGAGCTGAATGCAGACAATGGTCTTGATCCTCCTCTGTCTTTGGAATTAATTGAAGCTCAATCTGGAGACACTCTTACCTTAAACAATGTCATCCCTAGGGGCTGGAACCCGGGCCAAACTTACCGTTCTCATGTTAATTTCAATAACTAATACAAAGTCATTAGGAGACTATTCGCATCATGGTTACATTTAACTTGTCTATATATGACGAGACTTGTCATTTATGATATATAGTGGTGTGTGTATTGTATGTTGGTTGGATGTAGGTTGTGGAATGCAAATTGTTCCCCCCATCCCCTATAATCTTGAAAATAAATTTTTACTTTTGTTTACACTTTTTTCGTGTGCTTTACTTCCAGTATCATTTTGTCTAAAAGAGAGTGTGTCATTTTCAAAGTGTTATAAGAAAGACAAATATAGTTTCTTTTATGTACTTAATCTTATTAGCAACAATTTATATGTAGCTACATCTCTTATTTAGTAGTTGTATGTACCATGAAGTAAAACTCAAAAAGGTTAAATAAATCTATGTTTTACCATTATTTTTTAGGGATTGTATTATACCAAGTACATCATAATTAAAGATACTTCATACTAGATTTAAAATTAAACTTAATACCAAGTAATAAAAGCTTATTGATCAATTTACATTTTAGTAAAAAGGTAAGATACAATGTGAAATTAGACACATCTTCTTTCAAGATCCTCTTGAAAACTTTGCATATTTAGTTATTTACAATTGAACTTTGCTAAACAAGGCCTAGTAGGCATTTTGGGCCCATTGAGTGAAAAAGGATACAAAGCTGAATTAAAACGGCTTTGCCCACTGGGCTTTTAGTACATATATTCTCAATTTTTTTGACAGAATATATTCTCAATTTTAATCCTCAAGAATTCAGTTGAAGTTTTAATGTACATTTTTGCATTACATACAAGATTGTCTTGATTGTAAGTCCAAACAAAATAATTTTATACACAATCAAGAAGTTTTAGATAATATTGCTTAAAAATAAATAATAATAAAAAAAAAAAAGTTTAGATAATATAAGTCCAAAAAAATAAGTTTCAATAAATTCAATACTCGCACAAATTTAAACAAAATAATAAGTTCTGATAACTCATAACAAACCAAAGATAATACACGCTAAAAACAAGTTTGATATAATCGACAAAGTAAAATTAGCCAAATTAAACAAGCTATATACATGGAGAAGCATTAGACTTAATGGTTGTTTTTCTTGACTTGGACTTTAAAGGATATGAATAGACTTTAATCAGTTAAAAGTTTGAACTACTTTAATTTCCCTTTTCTTTTTTCTTACTTAAAACAGACTTGCATTTTAATGGATGGACAAGCGAAAATTGCTCTCAAAACAGTCAAAATAGCTAGAATTTCCACCCCATAAATAAAAGGAGCTAGCTAGTATTAGTAAAGCATGCAAAATTATAAGAATAAGCTTGATTTAAAGAACAAGTCTTTCTCCTAAGCTAAGAACTCACACATCCTCCTTACACGTGTCACATACTCTCAACTTCACTCTTTTCCCTTTTCTTTCTCATCCACAATTAACCAACCAACACTTGAACTAAAAACTAGGACTCTTACCTCTCTTCTCACCATACAAACATACAACTTCTACTACATAATTATATCATTTCACATCTAATATTATATTTCATGTACATAGATTTTTATTTTACCATTCATTCATCATATTGTTACTAATCTTCTCTTATGATTGATTATTTTTTCGAGTTTTATTTGTTTGTATTTATTTTGTTCTTAAAAGAAACTCAAGGTAATGTCTTTGGTTGTAGAACAACAATCAAATTTCAAACATTTTTGTAGAATTTGCAAGAAAGGATTCATGTGTGGAAGGGCATTGGGAGGTCATATGAGGGCTCATGGAATAGGCGACGAGAGTGGTGTCCTTGATGATGATGATCCGGCTAGCGATTGGGAGGACAAAGGTGGTAGTGGAGGAGTTAACACACCGCCGAGTAATAAGCGTATGTATGCATTAAGGACAAACCCTAATAGGCTAAGAAGTACTAGAGTTTGTGAAAATTGTGGGAAAGAATTTTTGTCATGGAATACTTTCATAGAACATCATGGTAAATGTAACCCTAATGATGTTGAATCCCCTTTGTCTTCGCCTGAATCCGATGGAGACGATGTTGGTGGGAGGAGGGCCTCCGGATGGTCTAAGAGAAAGAGATCATTTAGGACAAAAGTTGAGAATTATACACCTAATTGCCCTTCTAGCGAGGAGGAAGACCTTGCAAACTGTCTTATGATGTTGTCTAATGCCGCGGTAGACCCTATGGTGGTGGAGCAGCTAGATGAGTCTAGTGCTTCCGCGAGTAAGGAAGAAGAGAGGCGGCATTCAAGTAGCTTCATGGCTCCATACATGACATCGCGAGGACCACTGCCTTTTGATGTTAAGGCCAAAGGTGTGGCTAGTAATAATACTAACCCTAAAGGTTTGTTCGAGTGTAAGGCGTGTGGGAGAACGTTCACTTCTCATCAAGCATTAGGTGGTCATAGGGCTAGTCATAAAAAAGTCAAAGGGTGTTTCGCGGCAAAAATGGATCAAGTTGATCAAGATTATAGCTATAATGGGGAGGAAGACACTTTAGGAGGCGGTAGTGATCACGAGTTCATGAGACCGGCGAAATCATGTACCACGTACCAATTCGAACGTGGTGGATCAAGTTCACCCTTAACAAATATGTCCAAGAGGCCTAAATCTAAATCACATGAATGTTCAATTTGTCATAGAGTCTTTTCTTCAGGACAAGCACTAGGAGGTCACAAAAGATGTCATTGGATTACCTCTAATGCTCCGGACACTTCAACTCTAACAAGATTTCAAGAACTTCAAATCGAGCAAGTCCACGAAAGGCCGCCGCCTCCCATCTTCACTACACATCATCATCAACTCTCAATCTCCGAGCAAAAGGCATTGGACCTCAACCTCCCCGCCCCAAACGACCAAGACATCCTTAAGATCCAAAGAGACCCTAGGAACTCTTTGAGCTTTCGAGTCCCAACCAACATCCTCCTACAATCTTGGGGCAGTGCTAATGTAGAAATTAAGCAAGAGAGTAACGTTCATCACCAAGATAAGGGACTTAATTATGAAAACGAGGTCGAAAATGAAAGTGATCACAAGAAGATCACTAACAATATTAGTGTTATTGAATCTAATATGCCTAATAATGCAGATGATGAGGCAGATAGTAAGGTGAAGTTAGCAAAATTATGTGAACAAGATAATATGAGCACTAATAATGGTAGCTCTTCTCCTTGGTTACAAGTAGGGATTGGTCCAAGTAATGCAGTTAAAGCCAGCCCATAAACTATATACTATATATTTAAGTTTCAAAAACACCATAAAATTCATAGAAAAGAAAAAAAAAGGGAAAAAATATGTTTAGGTATATTATCTTGAAATTGATACACTGTAATTAATTTATATATACTCATCAACATCATATAGCAATTTTAGTATATAGTATATACTACATATTTTTGATGGGGGTCTGTATAAGGTGTGGACTTACCATCCACCAAATATTTGATTATAAAATTATTGTGAACAATGAAAAATAAATCAAGAACAAAGTATCAAAGTGTATTTTTATTAGACATTTTATGATTTGTTTGCTTTTTATTTAAAAAAAAAACATTGTAGTGAACGTATTATACATTTATACTAGATTAGCTGGTTTAATTTGACAATAATATGCAACAGTATTCAAATAGCCAACTCTTTGTGACAAGTTATCTTCCCTAGCCTAAATTAAATTATCTGATTGATTGAATGTATAACATCAGCATATTTTATTATTTAAATTCAGTAGTTACGACTAGTAGTTTTGTATTATTATTCCTCGTTGCCAAATAAAAAAAAAGAGTAATTTTATTGAGCACAAGAATTTCGTACTGATTGAGAGAATTTTAGAGAGGGAAAAATTGGAATATTATTCATTGAGAAAAAGCTCTGAATACAGGAGAGTATTTATATCCATATTACATCAACAACTCTAGCTAAATACACGCTGGAAAAAGGTGTAACTAATTCTGTTATAACAGAATATTACAAACATCTAGAGAATTATATTATAACTGAATTTGTTATAACAGAATGATACAAGCTTCTAGAAGAGCTAGGTTGGACAGCTGCTGGATTCTTTTAGTAATAGACCCTCTAGTATGCTGGCAACTTGTATGACTTCATTCTCCTGGATTAGATGAGAGCATGCAACGGTTGTGTGAGCCTGTGATTTAATATCAGCAGTAGTAAAACCATTACCCCCCCCCCCCTCAAGCTAGGGCTGGATGAAGCATCAGTAAGTCCTAGCTTGGACAACAATAGACGAAAATGAGGACCAGACAGAGCTTTGGTGAATACATCTGCCAGTTGATGTGATGTAGGAATGTAATGCAGCTCAAGTAAACCCTAGTAAAATGGACATCGATTTCTATGTGTTTTGTCCGTTCATGATGGACTGGATTTTTGGCTATGTGTATAGTAGATTGATTATCACAATAAAGTGAAACAGGTTTCAACTTCTTAACACCAAGTTATTCTAACAAACGAACTAGCCAAGTTACTTCAGAGGTTGCAGAAGACATGGCACGATATTTTGCCTCAGAAGAAGATTTGCTAACTGTCCCTTGTTTCTTAGATTTCCAAGAGATTGGAGAACCACCAAAAATAACAACATAGCCTGTCACAGAACGTCAAGTAGATGGACAACCAACCCAGTCTGAATCAGTGAAAGCTCTGAGAGAAAGAGAGTCAGAGGATTTAAGCAGAATCCCTTGACCAATAGTCCCTGCCACATACTTTAAAACATGATGCAATGCATTCATATGAGGAACTCGAGGTTGCTGCATGAATTGACTGAGAACTTGCACTGAGAAAGCTAGATCAGGTCTGGTGTTAGTAAGGAAGTTCAATTTACCAACAAGTGATCTGTAGAGAACAAGATCATGATAAAAATCTCCATCATCATGTGTGAGCTTGAGATTAATAGGAAGGGGAGTAGAGACCTTCTTGGAGACATCAAGGATGCATGTTGATAATAACTCCTTAGTGAACTTTCTTTGAGTAAGGACTATTTTAGACTGTAAGTGGGCAACTTCAATCCCTAGGAAATAATTCAAAATTCCTAGGTCTTTAATGCTAAAAGTAGCATCAAGATGAGCCTTGAGGTGCATGATTTCTTCTGTATTGCTTCCTGTTAGGATTATGTCATCAACATAAATTGCCCCAATAGTTGTATGACCATTCGATTTCTTCAGGAAGAGAGAGTAATCATTTTTGGATTGAACATATCCTTGCTGCAAGAGTTCAAAATGAAGTTTGGAAAACCATTGTCTTTAGGCTTGTTTAAGTCCATACATAGACTTTTTCAGCCTGCACACCTTGTTGCCTGAGTTAGGAATTCCTAGTGGCATCTTCATATATACCAATTCATCGAGATCCCCATGAAGGAAGGCATTGTTAATATCCAATTGGTGAAGAGGACATTTGTAAGAAGCTGCCAGAGATAGAATACACCTAATAGTAGACATTTTGACAACTGGAGAGAAAGTCTCTTCATAATCAATGCCATGAACTTGTGTAAATCCCTTTGCCACCAATCTATGGAGCCATCTGCCTTTAGTTTCACTTTATAAACCCACTTGCATCCAATAGCTTTCTTGTTGGGAGGCAAATTAACTACTTCCCAAGTGTGGTTATCCTCTAGGGCCTTGATTTCTTTGTTCATAGCAGAAACCCAGTTTTCATCTTGTGATGCCTCTTGAAAGGAGGCTGGTTCAGTGAACTGATTTGCCTTGCTTATAAATGCTTTGAATTGATGTGGTAGAGTGTCAAAAGAGACTAGATTACAAAAATGAGAAGCATCACTGCCAGAAACAGAAGAATAGCAGTGAAAATCTTTGCACCAGGCTGGTTTCTTAACAGGTCTGGTAGATTGTCTGACAGGAACAGGAATGGTATTTTCTCGTGGATTTGGTTGTCTTTGTAAAGGTGGAGGATCTTGTATGGATTCATCAAGATGCTGTTGATAAGAATAAATGTCAGGTTCATCATAGAAGGTAGTATGTGGATTGGTGGTTTTGGGTAGAAATATGGTAGGTGTTGCAGTGGGATTGGGGCTTTGTAGATGAAAGGGGAAATGTGTTTCATGAAATATCACATCTCTGGAAATTTTGATTCTCCTTGTGTTCAGTTCTAGAACTCTATAACCGTTTTGGTGAAGAGGATAACCAATGAAAACAGCTGGAACAACTCTGTCATCAAACTTGGTCATGTGAACTTTACTGGTTGATACAAAACATAAGCAACCAAAAGGCTTTAAATGATCAATTTTGGGGGCAGTTTTGACCAACTTGCTGTAAGGTGTAGCAAAGTTTATACTCCTTAGAGGCATTCTGTTAATCAAGTAAGTAGCACACAAGATTGATTCTCCCCAATATCTCTTGGGTATTCTGGACTGAAAACACAGTGCTCGTCCTGTCTCAAGTAAGTGCTTATGCTTGCGTTCTACTACTCCATTTTGTTGTGGTGTGTCTGCACAACTTGTCTGATGTATTATCCCATTTCTTATGTAGAAATCTTTCATAGAACCTTCTGTGAGCTCAAGGGCATTATCAGACCTCACACACAAAATGATTGTATTAAATTGTGTTTTGACATAGTGTGAAAAATTTTCAAACAAACTTACAGCATCAGATTTGCATTTTAGTAAATGAACCCATGTGTATCTACTAAAATCATCAACTATTGTTAAAAATTGGTTGAAACCATTATAAGTAGACTCTTTGTATGGACCCCAAATGTCAACATGAATGAGTTCAAAAGGTTTTGTACTTCTTATTTCACTAACAGGAAAAGATAGTCTGTTTTGTTTTGCAGCAGGACAGACTTTACAAATGATGCTATTTGAGCAATCTTTTACATTCCAAGGCAGAATATGCTTAAAGCTATGAAAAGGTAAATGGCCTAACCTAAGGTGCCACAATTCAGCATCCTTAGTAGCTATATTTCTAGTTTTCTCCCAACTAGATTTATTACAAGAATAAGCAAAATTCCTAGAACTAGTGGTTAAGTACTCTGACTTTTGTTCCTCTAGAAAATAGAGTCCGCCACGCAATCTACCGAGAGGCAGAGCAGTCTGTGAAGGGGCCTGAATATAACAACCATTATGTGTGAATGAAACAACACTATTAAGATCCTTGCACAACTTAGGCACATATATTAGATTGAAGTGAAACAATGGAACATGCAGAACATCTTTGAGAAGAATTTTATTGTTCAAGGTAACATTCCCAATGTGCATAACCTGAATTTTGCTACCATTAGGTATAGTGATGGAGTTATTTGGGCCATTAACAAGTTTATATGAACGAAACATGTTAAGATCACTTCATATATGGTCTGAAGCTCCACTATCTATAATCCACTTAGCACCAAAAGAAGCAGATAAGCAAAATTTATCTGCCAATTTGCTTGAGCGTTTATGTCTGAATCACCTTCTTCTTGAGAAGAGGAAGCAACATCAGTCTGTTTTCCAAGAAGCTCAAGCAACTGATTGTATTGGTTCATAGAGATCATTGGTGCAGAGACTTGATTATCCTGATTCTGATTGTAATCTTCCATCATAGTGTCTTGTTGTGCAATAGCAGCTACACTCTTGTCCTTCTGCCACACATTGTGTTTGAAATTGGCTGGATAACCATGTAACTTCCAGCAATTATCAATGGAATGCCCAGGCCTGTTACAGTGATTGCAGAATAAAGAAGATCCTGATCTGGTGTTAGTCTGTGATCTGGTTCTGTAATTGGTATTTCTCTGAAACTGTTGATTTGACTTCTTTCTTTCAGCAAATACCATTGACTCTTGATTGCCTTTGCCATTCATATGCATTGTGCTCAGTTCCTTGTGTCTCTCCTCCTGGATCAAAAGCCTGTAAGCTTGTGAAAGATTAGGCAGTGGATTCAGCATTAGAATATTGCATCTCACACTAGTATAGTGTTCATTTAATTTCATCAGAAACTGCATTAATCGTTGCTCCTCTTTAAGCTTGAAAATCTTTTGAGTCAGGTTGCAAGTGCACTGATTACATGTGCATTCATGTGCATACAGGTAACGGACTCGCTGCATTCAACTCATCCCATAGCATCTTCATTTTTGTGAAAAATGCAGCAATTGATTCTGTGTTCTGATTTACTTCTGAAAGCTGACGTTCAAGAGAGTACAACTGAGGGCCTGATGTAAAACCATATATGTCTTCCAAATCCTTCCATATTTCTGCAGCAGAATTGAAATACAGAACGCTTCTGGCAATGATAGTATCAAGATTGTACAAGATCCATGAAATTATCATGTCATTGCACCTCTCCCAAGCCTTGTATGTCTCATGTGTGGGATAAGGTTTTGGAATCGTTCCATCCACGAATCCAAGCTTATTCTTAGCAGATAAGGCAATTGTCATACTTCTCCTCCAGTCAGCATAACCTTCACCATTGAATTTGGTGGAAACTAACTGAAGAGAATTCATGTCTGAAGGATGAATGTAAAAAACACTAGTTGGATCTTGATTAGGTGTAACAGGTGTGCTTGAAGTAGCAGCCATGGTTGAAGGGATGAAAAATAAAGTAGAAGAAGGAGATTGAAACAAAATTCTACTAGATTTTGATCAGAAAAACTAATCAACAGAAATATGAGAACCTTCAAAAATTTGAATGAAGAATTTGAGATCTAATTGAAAAATTTCCAGTAATTCAAGTACCTTAAAAGGTTTGCACAGCATAAAACACAGAATCAGGAACAAGATGAATTTGATTTGATTTGATCTTCAAAATTAATTGAAGATTATCTTGCGGAAGCTAATGAAAAACCTGCTCTGATACCATATTGAACACAATAATTTCGTACTGATTGAGAGAATTTTAGAGAGGGAAAAATTGGAATATTATTCATTGAGAAAAAGCTCTGAATACAAGAGAGTATTTATATCCATATTACATCAACAACTCTAGCTAAATACACGCTGGAAAAGGGTGTAACTAATTCTGTTGTAACAGAATATTACAAACATCTAGAGAATTCTATTATAACTGAATTTGTTATAACAGAATAATACAAGCTTCTAAAAGAGCTAGGTTGGACAGCTGCTGGATTCTTTTAGTAATAGATCCTCTAGTATGCTGGCAACTTGTATGACTTCATTCCCCTGGATTAGATGAGAGCATGCAGCGGCTGTGTGAGCCTGTGATTTAATATCAGCAGTAGTAAAACCATTAAATTTCATATTGGGGATTTGATTCTGCCTACTTGGGCTTAGAGATTAAGAAATTTGATTGACATTATTCAAGTACAGAGTATGTTACATTATGCATCAAAATATAAATTTACCCCATCGTTTTAAACGATTTTAGCCATGTTAAGGCAAGATAAAAGATCAGAGCCGAAATAGGTACATACAAGTGTAGAATAATGGTGTCACATTAAGTGGCCAATGTACTAGGTTAGCTCAACAGCCCAATCCTATATGTCATGGCTTGACAAGCTATTATTAGTCAGTAGTCGCAATCACCTTATATTTTACCTATGTGATGTTAGTTTAGCAACCATCCGAAGAAAGTTGAAATTGTCCAAACTATGACCATTATGAACAATTGGCCATTAAATTAATTACTAATTTCCCCTAATTAAGCTCACCCTTTGGATAATAGTCCTTAGTCAAAATATAATTTACAAGAGTCGGTATTTCACCCGCAACAACTTTGTAAATTTCATAAAGTTCTAGTCAATTGTACGTGTGGATACTTTTCATTGATAGATTAGGTTGTTCAATTAGGAGACAACTTGCTAAATAAAATACTAAAGTTTCTAATTTAGTTACTATATATGTTCAATCCTATAAAAACATGTTATCTTGTGCACCATGCTTCTACATGACTAAACATAACATACTTTTCGAATCTATGTTATTATTATATGTTCTAATCCGACCTGATTTGACTCGACTCATAATTTTGTGACATGAAAACACAGTGATGATGTTAATAACAGCTAAATTACTAAATTTGGTACAGCAAAAGACCAGACCTATGAAGCATCATGTTGGAATGGGCTGTGCTGATTTGTGCAGCCCACTGTCTATTATAGTAAGAGTTGTTTCCTTCCAACTCATGCAAAGAAGTTCAACTTAATGCTTCTTCTATTTTAAGACAATCATAGGCCATGCTCTACTTTTACTCCGCATATGCTATCCCATATTGAAGAAAATCTTATACTCCGTAATATAAAGTAAATTAAAAAAAGAAAATTACTTCCAAGTATAAGTAAATGGTAGGGTTTAAAATTGTGACTTCAAAGTCACAATATGAGTTTTTCAACATTTCAGCAATTTTGCTTGATTATTTAGACCATTACTTTTTCGCAGTTTAACTGAATTAAAAGAATACCATAATAAAATTCAATAAAAAAAGTATATGATTTAAAGCATGTGAATTAAATTTGAATTGGACCATTACTTTTAACCGAAGGAAGTACTAAAATCAAATACACAACACTTCATGCCAAGTTGTAAATATAATAATTAATTGGAGTACTATACTGCTCTTAAAACTCCAAACAACTACAAGTATATCATATACACATTTCTTACATATTCCATATTTCCATTATTAGACTACGACTTCCAACTTATTCTTAGACATTTCATCACGTTCATTAGGTCTAATCTCCTTAATTATCTACTAATCTATTTAAAATAAAGTGTGATTTGGTCATTTAGTAAGTAATTTTCTTAAACTTGCAACAAATTAAAATAAGTTTGGTACCACTTGCACAACAAATAAGCTGCTCTCCATGTTAGAATTTAAGGACAAACACAAGTAGACTTTTAAGACTTAGTCTACTATTTCCCCTTAATATAAAAAGGAAGTTACTCTCGCCCCAAAGAATGCTCCACTAAAATTGGGTATTAAGTGGTTACTTTCCCACTTATTTCCTACCCTTCAATTTTCCATTATGCTTAGCTAAAAGATCCAATTTTAGAGGAACAAAACCACTTACAAGTAACTACATCTTAAACTTTCCTTCTTGAGAGTGTACAAATTTTCAACCATCTTTATCTACGAAGTATTTAATATTGTTCACTAATTTTGAACAGGCAAAGATAGTAAATACAGAATATTATGACTATAAGCATCCTACAGCTAGCGATAGATATATAGTGTTATCGTGACAAAGTAATAAATTAAAAACCGCGTTTAGTGTTATTTTTAGGATTATCAAGTGTAAACTTAGGAATCGAGCTTATTTTTAGTTAGTGTTGAGTTGATCATGGATTACATCATGAATTGATTAAAAACCAACAAAATGGGCATTGACATGTGGATATATATTTGAGTTGTTACAACTATTATTAAGTCATAGTTCCGTGAACTTTAGTGTATGCTAAGGTACACCCATTTCTTCTTTTCGTCTTGTTGTGGAGCATTGCTACAAGGTACATGAAGCTGATTAAAAAAAAAAAAAAAAAAAAGTAAGGCCAAAATAGTTTAGTGTTAGTCCTATACATGTATAATTGAATACTCCATATTAACTTCTAGTAACTCTTTGATGAATACAATTAAATACATTAATTAACGTTTATTATACTTAGTCAAATTGAAACTTCACAGCCTAATAAAGTTTTGAATAGTCTCTTTAACACAAAGTAACTATTCCATATTTCCATGTAGTAGTTTCTAACTTAATATACAATTATAGATATTAAGGGATGCAAAACAAGCATACTATATAACACAAATTAATGAACATTTGCGTTGAGTGTGGGACTGTGGGTGGCTAGTCAAACATCATCAGTTGAAGATGAATCTATTAAAAGTAACAAATCATGATTATAAATTAGGATATTGTATCACATGTAAGTTACAATAATAATCATAATGGGACAATAAGAATACCACCATTATTTAGCTTGTCTAAAATGAGCTCAAGGGCATATGTAAATTTTATGAATTTAAAAAATAAGAAAAAAATCATTCAAAATAACTATAAAATGAACTATAAAAAAAGTTCATATAAAAGAGTGAATATTGATTGTTTAAAAAAATCTTATCTATTGTTAGAATAATTGTATTAATGTAGAATCTAGACATTACTGCTATACGCCCACAGATACATAATAAGAACATCAAGTACAGAGCAAAATGTAATATTCTTTCATTCTTTGTGAAGCACTATTGATCATAAAATCTTAGGGATACTCTATCTCCTTTCTAGAAAAAAAAAAAAAAAAAATCATTCAAGATACATATGGTTCTAGCTGATTATAAAACACGAGATATTAATCTTTCACGATACTTCTATGATAATGTAATTAGCTCCAAATCAAATATCATTAATCGTAATTTCAAATATCATGGTAATTCCATATTACACCGTGCTTATTTCCTTAAATACAAGATAATATTGATACTTAAATTAGAAGAAATACAAGGAGTGAAAATACGGAGTAATTAATTAAAACAATCAAACACAACAATCAAAGACATATAAGTAAAGAAACCGGCATAATTGCATAAAAATGCTTCGAAAATAAACATGTTATATGTTTGTTCTTTTATGATTTTATGCACATAAACGCGTAATTAAGTCCTCATAAATTACGTTTGCCGTTTCTCCTCACTTAAAAGAAGATCCCACCAAAAAAAAAAAAATCCAAAAAAAAAAAAAAAAAATTAACAAAAAAGAAAAAATGAAAAAAAGGGTATAAATCAGCTTGGTGGAGGAATGCTTGTCACCTACTCATATAAGCTTCCAATCTCCACCTTCTCTCTCACATTAACTTTTGTGCAAAAAAAACACACCTCACGCAAAGTTCACCCCTTAATCTTACAAAATTCTGAAAAAATAAAGTACTAAATTTATAAGCTTTAAGCTTAATTTATATTACTACTACTTTGAAATTCAATTTCCCCTGTTTGTTCTTTCTTACTCTGTTTTTTTTAGCTTAATTACTCTGTTTCTAAACAAAAAGAAGAAAAAATGGAGAGGCATAGATGTAAACTTTGTTTTAGGAAGTTTGCAAATGGGAGAGCTTTAGGAGGGCACATGAGGTCTCACATGCTTAATCATTCTGTCGCTTCGAAACCCGACTCTCCGGCACCACCACCACCACAACTGCGGATGCGAACACCTAGTTGGTCGGAGACTGAATCTCCACCACCATCGTCTGTGTCACACTTTTTATCATCGAGTGATTCAGAACACGAAGACGAGGTTGAATTTGCAACTCATGATAATGATGAATTGATAGTAGCTGAACCGACTGGATCATCGTCACTTGTTACTTCACAAGATAGAGAAAGTGAGACGGAGTCGTTTAGGAAGAAGAATCATCCTACTCGAAAGCGAAGATCAAAGCGGATTCTTCAGAAACCGGCTTCTTCAACTTCGTTCGATTATCACTACTTTGATCATCAACAACGACAACATTATGTTCGGGGTTGTAGGAAATCGAGTGGTTCGAGTGCGGTTGATGTGGAGGCGGACCTGCCAGTTAGTTCGATCACGGAAGTTACTTCCGAGGAAGACTTAGCCTTCTGTCTCATGATGATGTCGAGAGACAAGTGGAATAGCTCAGTTGGTAAGCGTACTACTGCAACAACAAAGAACAATAATAACAAGAAGATGAAATACAAGTGTGATACTTGTAACAAAGGTTTTAGATCGTATCAAGCATTAGGGGGTCACAGAGCAAGTCATAAGAAAATTCGAGTTAATGAATCCGAGCAAAGAGCTGATAACACTAACGAAGACGAAAATCGGGTGGATGATGGATCGGATTCGATGATGATAAAGAAGGTTCATGAATGTCCGATTTGTCTAAGAGTTTTTGCTTCTGGACAAGCTCTTGGTGGTCACAAAAGATCTCATGTTCTTGTTTCGAATAATGGGGTTGATCATAACAACTTACTTGATAATAGTAAGATAACGAAGATCACTACTCGTGATAGTTTGATTGATCTTAATCTTCCTGCTTCTGTTGAAGATGAAGATGATTCAGCTGTTTCTGATGTTCATTTCTGATTAAGAAATTTTATAAGTCAAAAGATAATTCTAATTTTATTTTATTTTTTAAGGGAAAAAGATTAGTATTGATCAACTTTAATTAGCATTGTTTTGCTAGTAGTTGAGTTTATTATATGACTTGGTCATTTTAGTTTATTTTGAGGGGTTGGAACAAATTTGTTTGATCTTTTGTCTGTAATTATCAATTACTACTACTACTATTACGAGTACAATTGATGTTATTGATACGATTGTCTCATTGCTATTAATGTCATCGTGAATAATATACTTATCTAACTAGGTAGGGTTAAATTTTCCGAAAGCAAATCGAATTAATAAGTTAAGTTACTATATTAGTAGTGGCATGTAGTTCAGTTTCATTGCTAATTAAGTTTGGCTTTAAGTAATTTTATTAGTATAGTTGAGATTTGTTTAAGCTTAATGAAGTTGAAGGACTGTTCCTAGTTTCCAGCTGTTTTAGCTAACTGCCTCTCCAATTAGTTTATTCCAACTACTTTTTTTTTCTTTTTTTTTTTTTTTTTTTTTTTGAGGTTTGGAAGTTGAGATTATACTCTAAATTATTTTATTTTTTTTAAAGGAAAAAAAAGGGGGGAAGGAAAAGGTCATTCCGAAAAAAGTTGAATAAATAAGAACCTTGTATTTTTAGGGGAATAAAAATAGTAAGTTCCACCTGTCAAAGTTGTATCATACAGTTGGGTCAAGCAGTAGGAAGATCAGCAATGTGTTATTTTCTTGGTTGTTTAATGACATATTGACATGTATATACTATAGTTTCTGTTTCTTTCTAATTACTGTTACCTTATATTTATACTTAAACTTTTCCACAAATCATTTATTCATCAGTATTTGTAGTTTTGTACTACTACTACTCATCATAGTGTAATAAAAAGTCATTAAAGATAATGCAGCATATGTACTAATAATGTACTCATTTTAAGTTTTTGATTTGCTTAATTTGTACTTTTCCATATGGTATAACCTCACACGCGTTATATCATAAAACATGTATAGTCGTAGATGCCTTACATAATACTTAACCAAAATGGCCTAGGTTATTAGTTAATGGTACGGTCCACACTTAGGTTGATCATCTTCTCTTCAACTCATCTTTATTAGTGATGAAAACTAATAATTCGTGATATCCTGTAAAAAAGCTAATAATCACTAATCCAGACTTGTTGATTTACTAATGTTGTTCATGTCAAAAATGAATTTTGTTTATAAAAACAAAACTTCCTAATCAAAATTAAATTTCATCAACATATGTTATTATGATAAGATTGATTTTTTTTTAAAAAAAAACAAAATTAACAACTTTTTTTTTTGTTTGTTGAAGTTGAAGTAGGATTACTAAATTTGGTAGGTATGAGGCTTGTTTGGTGATGAGTCCAACAATAGAACTGTAGAAAAGCATGGAGAAACCCAGGTTCACACTCACTCATTTATAATCAATGCTTGCAACCAGTTTACTGCTTTCATTTGTCCCATTTTTCAGCACATTTTTTCTGTAATGCAGGCCATTATATATATTAGTGCACTTTTATCTTTTATTTTTTTTTAAAAAAAAAAGTACATATAAAATTTATGAATAATATTAATAAAATTAAATTATATAAATAGGGTGGGGATTCCACCACCCCTTATAAGTAATAAAGGTATTATTCCATTGATTAAATTGTTCTCTTGTCTATCCTTTGGGGCCATGCATATTGCATGATGCACCCAAAAGCTTTGCCTATACCCCTGTATATGTTGCTTTTTCAGCCCCTTTGATTTGCTGCATGCCTAAAGTTACCCATGTATTGCTTGGATTCTGTTAATATCTTCAAATATCTTTTCCGATTTTTTTTTTTTCGTTACGCAGTATACTATTGTAAATTTATGTCGATAGGTTTCAAGCCTCAACTTATAAGATTGTACATATTAAACTCTTTGTTACTCTCTGTACAATCAAAAGATTGGTATTATTGCACTATTGCCAAAAGGGTGCTATATACGTAGGATTTGTTCTTTCGACAGAGTAACTATATTGGCCATCAAACACGTAGTAAGTGTACGTAGTGAAAAAATTAGCCTTGGATAGTTAAATCCTCCCCTACTCAGCTGCTCCGTCATTTTTTCGAGCTTAACCTTTAACACTATTAGGTAAAAAAATAAAAAAAATAAAAAAAATTAAAATGGAGCACTATCTAGTAGTAGAAGTTGCTTAGTATTTAGTTTTATTTTTAAGGATTTTTTTAGTAAAGAAGTTAGAGCTAGCTAGAGAATAGAAACCCAATTGAGAATGGCATGTCGATAAATCTTTTGCTTTCCCTAAATAAGTTTGCAAGAAGTTAGAACTTTAATGGCTCTAAATTGAATGGATGCTTGCCTCATTTTTTATTTTTTTAAGGATGACAATATATGGAAATCCCAATGGGTATCCCTTTTTCTTCAATAAGCTTTATATCTTTTGGGGATCAAAAGAATAATAATTATTCATGATTTATACCCACTTGTTTACATATATGCTATATCATCCGTCTCATAGTCCCCTTCTATATAAAAACAATATTTAAGTTATGGATTAAGTATATAGTTTAACTGTTCAATTCATTCCTTATAGAATTGTTATCCGATCCAATTACATATTCTCTTCTTATTTTTTTGAAGCGAGTATATCTAAAATTTTGTTTCAAAATATAAGTCACTATTAAGACTAACCATTCTACTAAAACTAACTCCACATAAATGCATTGTTAACTAAAACTAACTAATTAGTATGAGTACTACTTTTTTTTTTTTTTTTTTATCCTGGTGCAAATGGGGGCTAAAGTGCCCAAAAAAACAAAGCAACTAAGAAATTAAACGAGGGGTAGTAACACCTAAGACGTTCTCCTTTAGCAGCTCCTTTATTTCGATCGGAGGCACATCGAGATAAAGGGACCCCTCCTCTTGAACGACACCTAGGTTAGTTAATCTATCAGCCACCTTATTCCCCTCACGAAAACAATGAAAAATACAAAAATTACGACCAAAAGAACTAATGATATTAGGACAGACTCGGAGCATATGCACGCCTTCCCCTCCATGGAGTTGATCATTTTTCAGAGCCTCGATACAAGCCTTGTTGTCCATTTGAACTTCAAGCTTCGAAATGCCCAAGCACTACCATCTTGAGTCCTAGTTCAATTGCCAACAACTTAATATGAGTAGTAACATGCCTTATAAAAGGATACGGAGTGAGTACTATGTACATATTCAATACATAAGAATGGTGTCCGTATACTACAGATAAGATCAATATAAACCAATTACAATGATCGCACTAATAATGGCCGTAATCTCACATTAAATCGATCGTTGAAGAATTTATAAAATTTTCTTGCATAATTATTAGTACTTTCTGCTATATGCATTTATTCTTTTACATTTCTGAATAAGTTTGGAGTATATAACACACTTTTTCATTTAATTATTCTCAGTAATGAGAGTTTTTCGTGGAAAAGGGAGTACGGAATATAAGGGTTTGTTAGTACTATTACAATTTACAATAAAATAAAATAAAATAAAAATAAAGTAAAAAATAACTTTCATAATTAACAACGGTATTAATATGCTTGAACCATGATCATCAATTATAAAGAAAGTTCACGGAAATATACGGACATACAAGAATAAATTCAGCCTAATAAAGCTACTTGTTTGTCAATCCATGGTCCATTCCTTTGAGTTGACCAATAACGCAATTAGGGCAACGTAAATTTTGAGTAGAATGGACTATGGAGGGCAAATGTCTTCTAGCTTAGTAAGAGTGATATAATTAAGTGTCCTTTAAAAAACAATCACCGAATATGAGTTTCGCCGGATATATAGAGGACTAGATGAGATTTGATTATAAGTTTTGGATGAAAACCACCTCTTGAATTACACTAGTTCTAAATATAGTGGCAAAAAGTGAGTGGTGTAGTGGTGTGTGGCAAGTTGCAAGTTTGAATCCTCTGCCCCTATTCGTAATTTGTAAAGTCTGTCTCATATAATCCTAATTTTGTCAATATATATAAAATTATATTAAAGATCGATCACAGTACAAATTCGTGATAATCTATAGTTCTTACTCTCTCTATTTTTTTTTTATAAGCTAGAGTTGGATGTGCACATTTGCCGAGACACAACTTTGACCATTAATATCTTTAATTAGAGGTTAGTAAAAATTATAAAAAAAAAATAATTTATAAAAGTAGACATTATGACAAATCCAACAACATATTATATTATCATATTTATATATTATATATTGGTAAAAAAAATTAAGTCAATGATGACCTATGAATAGTGGAATTTTCCAACTCTAGCTTATAAAAAAAACGAAGGAAGTATTTGCATTATCTCTTATCACAACAATATATTACTCACTAACTAGTCATACATTGATTTATATTCCGCTACATCAACACAACTTAAAAAGCTTCTCCCCTTTACACAGAACCTTTATACGTACACATCTATTAGTCCTTACTATGCCGCAATAACCAATAGTCAAATCTTTAATAACAATACGAGTCAGCATGGGATGGAACATAAATAAGTTTGGTCCAAACACTAATGACTTGCTAACCCATTTAGAAAGGGAAGCCAAATAAGGAGGCTTAGCATAATTGCTTTACTAGCTACTTACTAGTAGTTGTTAGCTTAATTGATTGGTGTCTCAAACTAGTCGGTGGGTTGGTCTTTATCTCGTACATCAAGCAAAATTACAAGCTCAAAAAGTAAGTAATAAGGGTTATATTTATATTGAAGAAAGGAATAATAGAGTAGATGATATAATATACTTCATGTGAAGTCATGAGAAATAACTCCAATAGGTGCGTCTTTTACAAGCTCACATACATAGAGTTATTATTACTAAGTTGGTTGAGCTTAAAAATTTAAATAAATTTAGTGGACCCTATTTAGAAAAAAAAGGAGATTTAAATGAACCAACAAAATGTAACAACTCTTTTTAAAAGTTTTTGCCGGCTTGTTGACTTTGGCAAAACATGGCACTGAAATATTAGTCAATAAATGGGGAATGAGTCAAATGTCTATGATCGATCTTCCTTTTTAATTCCCACTGTATTGATTGATTTTAATGGCCAAGCATGAACGTTCCTACTCCAATTTTTGGTGTGATTTAATGTTCTTTTGACACTCTTTTTTTGACACTATCTGGTTTAGAGCTTGCATTATGGAACAGATTAGAGGTGGTCAAAGGGAGGGCATGGTGG